CACTTTGATCCTCCTAAGAACCTTGGGAACAAATCTACACTTTGATCCTCCTAAGAACCTTGGGAACAAGATCAAATGTGATAAATTTCATTTGTTTCTATGTTTAACCATTTTAATGTCATATTCTCTTTGTTATTCTCGTTAGATGTGGGTTTGAGTTTTGCTACAACTGCGGAGGTGTATGGAACAAGAAATTAAACACTTGTGCTAAACGCTGCCCGGCCTTGAACATGGAATACATCATGCGCCAAGATCCAGCGCTTGCACACATGGAGCCTAACTACTACTTTGATGATTCTGATGAAGATGAATATGAAGATGAAGAAGAATACGACTATCTTGCCTATGGGCGTGCGATGATGAATGATTTGGGTTTAGAAATTCCAGAAGACTTTGATCCTTTCTTTGACCTGCCAGATGGTAATGTGCCCTTTCCAAATCTCTCTAAAAACACCACCCTTGAATCTCATAAAATATTCATACTGAAATCACTATATGGTAATCCTGTAGGTACGCTCTTTTACCCCCATATGTTGTCTCCCAAGACTCGTCGCCGATTTTACGAAGCAGATGATGATTCTGATGAAATGGAACCCGGTCAATCGCATTTCCCACACAACAGTGCCTCGTTTGGTAATGTTCCTCCTGCAGATGATGATTCTGATGAAATGGAGCCGGGTCAATCTCATTTCCCACACAACAATGCCCCGTCTGGTAATGTTCCTCCTGCTGCAGAAGATGATGATAAAGACTGCGACTATCTTGCTTATGGACGTGCAATGATGAATGATTTGGGTTTAGAAATTCCAGAAGATTTTGATCCTTTCTTCGACCTGCCAGATGGTAATGTGCCCTTTCCAAATCTCTCTAGAAACCTCTTGATGAATCTCATAAAAATTTCATACTGAAATCACTCTCTGTTATCCTGTAGGTACACTCTTTCACCCCAATATGTTGTCTCCCAAGACTCGTCGCCGATTTTACGAAGAAAATGATGATTCTGATGAAATGGAATCTCATTTCCCACACAACAATGGCCCGTTTGGTAATGCTCCTCCTCC